TATTACCGTAGTGCTTTTTATGAAATAGATCTTTCATCCAATCAAATGTAATAGACATTTGATGTCTAGAAAAAAGAATTAAATTATTTAAAACAATATATTCTAATTAAATTTTTTTTTGAAAAATTCATAACACGCACATACGTATTTTTTCTGTCGACTTACTACAGGGTGGATTACGTTATTTGTATTGAACGGTTCACTTTCACTTTGATATACTTTGATGATATCCACTCGACATGTAAAGATAACAAAAAAGATAATGAAACAATTCATTGAAAATAAAAATTCAACAAAAAATGAAATACGGAGAATTAAATTATTTTTATGCATCACATATGGGATTACATGTACATCAAACACCCATGCAGGTCGCGAAAAGTAAGGAGTTGATCCTTACGCCATCGCAGGAATGTGCACATGTCGAAAGAAATCCTATTTTACTTTTGTGAAAAATGGACGTCAGAAGTCATGTAATCCGGTAACTTAACAGTAAAAGATGACACACGTGGCCCATGCCGATCATTTTAACCAGGGAAAATATCAAAGGTTGTCGCAGTGGGGTTGCTGGAAGAAAAAGTATTTTTTTTCAAAAATAAACATTACCCTGCTTAACTCTAAATAAAATTTACGATTAAATAGGTTTAACAAAATTTGCAGGCTACATTTGTACCATTCACCTTTTGGATATTTTGGTTGATAAAACATGCATAACACTCTCATAAAAATAAGTGAAAACTTCTGAAACTGATTAGATTTCGTTAAGCAATTATATCAAATAAATAATTAATCTAATATAATTTGATTTAAAGTTATTTATAAAGTCTAAGAAAAAGTGTATTTCAAAAAGTTGATGTTTGTTTTCCACAAGTTAGTTTAGAAATCAATACATATTGAAAGAAATCTAATTACTTAAATCAAGCTTTTGATACCAATAGTTATTAGCATGATATGAACTAAGAAGTGATTTATGGTGTTTTGCAGTAATAAAAAATGCTTTAAACACTATGTATTGTTAAAAAAAATAAAAGAAATAGAGGAAAGTACTGTATCGATAAATATTAAAATTCTGCGCTTTTCTTCAAATGTCTGGATAATAATAGTTTTTTTTTTCTCAAAATATAAATATAAATCAATTTTCAAGAAGAATAAATTTAGTAGGTGTTTTTATTACCATTGCTTGAAATCATTTACTCATTTTCCCTATATAATATGATTTACTCTAATGAGGAAAGTTTTGAATTTCCGTGTGTTAATTCACATTACTTTGAGAATTGATAGACATCTTTGTGAGTGTTTTCAATTATTCAGTGCCTGGTTTTCAGAACCTGAGGATAAGACTGCCCTTATTCTTCTTGCTCATTGGTTCTTGTGGAGAAAATTTTAAACAAAATTCCTATATATTCCAAAGTTTCATCGTCCATTGTAGCCCCATCCTGCCCCTGGGGGTACGTGATTTGGATTTGAACCTGCACTTTAGAGAGAAGTTCAGAGAGAGAGCTTCAAAAAACTCTTCTAGCCTATTAGTTCATGAGAAGGAATTTGTTTTAGTTTTTCCCCCACATATTTCCTTTATAGGGGAAAAATAACTCGCGGTGTTAATATTCGCTATATTCACGGTGTTAATAAATCCGTGAATTCAAGAAACAGTGAATAAATTTTCAATAATCTCCAGGTTTTATTAGGAAATTTGAGAATAGACAACGATAGGGCTACATACATGTACGCGAAATACATGGTCATTTCGGCCGGTAATTACGAGTAGTACTCGTCAATCAATTAATTTAATTATCACGCTTAACTTAAATTCAAATCCGCAGGTAATAACCCGTATTTGTTAAACAAGCTGTTTTAATAGCCAACGCTACATGTTTCATCAATCAAAACACGTGGGTCATTGGTTTTGATTATCCCTGCGTAACTAATGTTACCACGTGTATTTGTTGCATGCATATGAGTTTTTATCGACATTTTGGTTTTAAAAAATCATTCAAATAACTACTAGATAGAACTTACTGAAGATGTGGAACGATATTTCGTCGACCTTTTCCAACATTAACACATTTATTACCGTCCAGTGCTTTTTCATTGCGTTGTATCGAAGATCTTAGGGTGTACACGCACTCATTGTAATAGACATTTGATGTTTAGAAAAAAGGACTTTTGATAAGTGCACTTGTTTTAATTAATCGTCAGTTTTTTTTATATCAAATCTAATTATTTTATTTAAACCTACCCCGTTGTTCGTGAAATAAAGTCATAACTCTGATTATTAATATCGTTTTCATGTAGCTATGGTATGGATAAACAGATACAGACAAGGGAGGTAACTTTTATTATGTACCAATTCCGCGAATTCAAGAAACCGCGATCGTGTCAGATGAGAGAAAAACGTGAAAATTACAACCCGTGAAATTAATCCCCTATACAGTAGTTCATGAGAAGGAGTTTGTTTTAGTGTTTCCCCACATATTTCCTTTCTCCTTCCTCACAAAATTGACCTTGGCGTCTAATTTTTAGCATATCCGAAGGCTCAAGTGAAATTCAAATAAAAGACCACGTCCTCTTCCAAGGACAGATAATAATAAATAAGTGAAACATTTATGGCATCATTTAAAAATCTTATTCTCAAGAACCACTGGGCCAGGAATATATAGTGAAAATCATTAAACGTTTTCTTCTCAAGAACGACTCGGCCGAGAATAATGAAACTCACGAGGAATCATCTTTAGATTGTGTAGATTCCAGTTTCTTTAAATCACGGACCTCCAAACATCAGTGGTAGGATCAGGTGCCATGGAGGAGTGAGCATCCCCTGCCGACCGGGAAAAATAAAGAAATATTTCAAAACAATTTTTTCAAGTTCTACATAAGAAAAAAGAGGAAAAAATCTTCCCAAGAACAGAAAAGCTATGTTTAGTCATATTGACATGTAAGCATCTCCATGTCTTGAAGATTTGAATTCCTTCAAATCATGACCCCTTGGGGTAGGGAGGGGCCACAGTGGGGGATCAAATTTTCACAAAGCAATATACAGGTAGTAAATCTTTATAAAGATCTTTGAAAATCTTTTTCTCAAGAACAGCAAAGTTATTTGCCATATTTAGGCATTCTCAAGAAGTATAAAATCCAACCCCTTCTTCTGGTAAACCTTACAGCACTGAATTGATTTGTGCTTTTTCCGAACCGATGTGTTCAGATGAGCGATGTGGTTTTTTGTTCCCTTGTCTTCCTACCTTTGGGATCATAATATACACAATCTTCACTATATAATGAATGAACATAAATTTTAAGTATGGATCTTCAGTGGTTCCTGTGAAGATTTAAGATCATATCTTTTTTTATTTCCTTGTGGCCCAACCTAACTACACAAAGATGCTTTAATTTGTATTTTATCTTTTCAAACCGATTGGTTTTGTGAAAAGAAAAGATGCCATGCTGCAAATTTGTGAAAATCGATATAGTCGTTTTTAAAATAAAGTCTAACATGTGAAAGGTTGACACACTTGCAGTCAGACAAACTGAGGCAAAACAAGAGGCCCAAATCGCTATGAGAAGCTTTGACCATTCTGTTCTTTACTAGATCCTCCCATTTTGTGACCCCAAATGATAATAAGTAGACAATTTGAAATCTACACTAAACACATAAGTTTCAGCTTTTCTGGCCCAGTGGTTCTTGAGAAGAAGATTTTCAAAGATTTTTCCTATATATTTGGTAAAACTTTGATTCCCCATTGTGGAATGATTTGAACAATTTAAAACATGCATAAGTTTCATGGCCCAGTGGTTCTTGAGAAGAAGATTTTTAAAGATTTTTCCTATATATTTCTATGTAAAACTTTGATTCCCCATTGTGCCCCACCCAATCTCCCATGATTTGAACAATTTAGAATCTACACTACCCCAGGATGCTTCCACATTTTCAGCTCAGTGGTTATTAAGAAGAAGATTTTCAAAGATTTTTCCTATATATTTCTATGTAAAACCTTGATTCCCCATTGCTGCCCCGCCTTACCCCGAGGTCATAATTAGAACAATTTAGAATATACACTACTTCAAGAATGCACATATAATGGCCCAGTGGAACTTTGAGCAAAAAAAAATCTACACTACCCCAGGATGCTTTATCTATATATTTCTATAAAACTTTGATTCATTTGAACAATTTAAAATCTACACTACCCCGGAATGCTTCCACTTAAGTTTCAGCTTTACTGGTCCAGTGGATCTTCAGAAGAAGATTTTTAAAGATTTTTCCTATATATTTCTATATAAAACTTTGATTCCCCATTGTGGCCCCGCCCAATCCCCGGGGGTCATGATTTGAACAATTTAGAATCTACACTATCAAGAATGCTTTTACATAAATACTTGAGAAGAAGATTTTTAAAGATTTTTCCTATAATTTCTATATAAAAGATTGCTTTAATTATGTATTTTATGCTTTCACATAAGTTACACGAGAAGATTTTTGATTTTTCCTATATATTTATGTAAAAAAAGATGAACAATTTAAAATCTACACTACCCCAATGCTTTCACATAAGTTTCATGAGAATAAGATTTTTAAAGATTTTTCCTATATATTTCTATATAAAACTTTGTTTTTGCGGCCCCGCCCGATTCATGATTTTATCAAAAAAATCTACACTACCCCAGAATGAAAGGCTTTAACACACATTGCATTTCCCTTTACAAACTATAAGTCGAAAATGTGGAAAGTTTACGGACGGACAGACGGACGGACAGACGGACGGACGGACGACGGACACAATGTGGCACTTGAAAAAAACGTATATGACATCTCCAGCAAATGAATGAGAAAACACTAGCTCTATATTTTTATTTGGTTAAGAAAGTTAACAATATGCATAATATGGCTGTGAAGTTAGCAAATATTTTATTGATCCTATTTTTTCATTTACATTTTTACGGTACTTTGTTAGTAGATATCAATTTACGTAAAAAAAATAATAATCCATATCATCAATGCGGACGAATGAATATAAAACAACCATGCATACTCATGTTTATAAGCATAAGGAAATACTGTGCAGGTCTTATAACACAATAATTAAATTGTTAAAACTATATGTCGGGTGTCTTCATACAATAATACGTAAAAGAAAAAAAAAATCTTTCTTTGATAGAAGCTTATAACATTCTTCTTCATTTCTCGTCGCGTCTAATCTGATTTCCACCATTTTGCAATGTAACTTAAATTAGGCAAATCATAATTCTTAGGCATGTATATCTTAAATAACTTTTCCTTTTTGAAAAAAGCATTCCCTGAACTCCCTATAAAGGTGATCTATAAATGTCAATCAAATAATTAAGTACTTCATGGTAAAACTCTCTGGCAAGAAAAATGTAAGTGTATTTTATGTACCTGTTAAATTAGAGGACAAAACATACCTTGCACAATTTTTGTTATACCATCCAGTGACATCTCTTTGGGAAGATTTTGGCCATTGTGCTCTTTCTGAATTGTTTTCCATTCTTCCGTTTCATATATGCCCCTGTCAGACAAGAATGGACGAAAAACCACTCCTTCCATTCCAGATCCCTCAGTTCTATCTACCTTATATCTATATATAAGTGTCAGATATAAGATATGCTCTACATTTCATTCACATTTACAGATAATGATTCTGATCATGACCCTACTTTATTAGATTTCATGAAAGATACATTTAGATCTTTAGTATACCTGTTCAAGAGATATCCTTGCGTGTATTCACCATAAGAGACTGGAATCTTAACAGTGGTTGTTTCTTTAACTTCATGAGCTTTACTTGTGATCTCTCTCGGTTTTAATTCTTTTTGCTGTACAGAAGAAACGCCTTTCTTTGTAAAGACAGACTTCGTCTCTTTTGAGTCTGCAGGCTGTTCTGTTGTGAAAACTGTTACTTCTTTAGATATTTCTTCTGAAAACCGATGTGCTTTATCCTTTAAAAATCCATTGCTTTCATTCCTAGACATTTTAGGACTTGTTTTCTCGCTTTTGGTTTCTGGCAGGGAAGGATCAGTAAGACGCATTTTTGTTACACCTGCTTTTATTGTAACATGAGCTTTATGACCCGAATGTTCTGGCTTTTCTTCAGAACGCTGTGGATCGCTTAGAGATCTGACCTTGTGATCTTTTTCATCGGGGAGCCAGTATGTTCTTATCTCAAACAATCCACTACTATTATGTTGCATTCCATCATTATTGTTTACGACATAGCCTTCCATTTCCCCAGAAGGCAGTCCCGTCGTTTTTGAGGAAATACTACCGTCTTGCAGACAAACTGTTTGCTCTTGCTCCTCGACAACAGACAAAGTCAGTCCATTCTTTTCATGTTGCAAGTGTGTTTGATCAGTATCGATATTAATTTTAGAAGTTGATGGTGTATCAACATCAAAAGAGTCCTTTTCATTTTCTTTAAAGATGGTTTCGGTCGTCCAGCTGTTTGTATCTGTCCCATTAATTTTAATGCGCAAGAATCCGTTTTGTCTTTCATCAGATAATTCGTATTTACACGAATCTGATCGGTTCTTTCCTTTGGCTTTGATATTTGATAGAATAGTATCAGAATTCAATGAACAACGCATTTCTCCCGTCTTTTCACCTGCTCTTTGACCTAACTCGTTTGCTTTGCTTTCAAACATTTGTACTTGCATTCTCCTAAGAATGTTGTCTTGTGATCGTGGGTTAGATGAATAAATACTTTCAACACCTTCTTTAACTCCAACTTTCTCTGAGATTACTCGGTCTTCGAATTTACAGCTGCTTGAATCAGTTCCAAAATGGCATTTGCTTTCATCCGTTTGTTTACCACTAGACATCATTATAGAAGGACTTGATTTTTTAACAGAATAATGTTCCCACCCTGATTTCTCATTCTCAATTCTGCCATAACTCTGTCTGTTCATTTGTCCATCTTCTAAGTGCAATACATTACCTGGTGTATCTAATGTTTGATGCGGCACAAGTGGAACATCTGTCTGGCAGCCACTATCTACAGTAGAACCTGTCTTTTTTGAAGCACAATAAACGGCCATGTTCTTGTTTGCTTCGTTATGACTACAACAGTATGGACATCTGTTAACCTTTTCTGACCTTTGGTAAAACGTAGAACTATTTTCTTCTGCAATGGAAGCATTTTCTATTGATTCTTTATATTTTTGATGATCCACTAAAGTACCTGCTACAATACTGTTTTTGACTTTGCTCATTTCATCTTTCGTTTTGGCATGCCTGTCAAACATAAAGAGGTCCGATTCATACCTTCTTTCCTTGCTTTCTGAAGTCTGGTATACAGCAATGTCCGTTTCTTCTCTTTCAACAGGAGTCCAGGCTATTGTTTCAAATCTTTCATTTTCAGCTTTGGAATTGTCTTGTATATTTTGCCTAAATTCATGGGAACTTCTTTGAATCCAAGATGAATGAGCCGAAGATGTGTCAATTCCTTGATCATTGACAATCCTCTCTTTTGCAATTAGGGAATTTCCGTGTCTTTCCTGCCCGAATGCAATGTTGCTAAACCAGCCGTGACTCTCTGAATTATGGTATTTAGAACCCATGTCTACTTTAGCTGCATTAGAAGAGAAATATCTGTCGCTATGGAAGCTTGATTTGGTCTCTTTTCTTTTAGGTTTAGAATCTCCATATCTATGAAAAACAGATTTTAAACAGCTCATGAAAGAACACAATTATCAAATAAGAAAATCAAAAATTAAAAATATAACATTTTTTAGATGTCTACAATACCTGTCATCTTCATGCATTTGTGAGTCTCTACTTGAAGCATATCTATAAAACTGTGCTCCATGAGTATTCCAATATATCGGAATAGACACTGGTCCGCCATGGGATTTCTTTTCCAAGATAATACTTGGATCAGAACTTTGTTCATAAAGAATTTTTTTCTTCTTGCGTCGTCTACGTCTACATCTGAAATGTTGGAGAAAAAAAAACATTTTAAGTGCCGTAGCGTAGACTTTGTTTTAAAAATTGTCCGCACCATCGGTATATAATGGAATATGTATGTTTCTGTGAACCATGTACATGTGAAGAACAAAGATATTAATGCCTCACCCGATGAAGATAAATAATATTATTATGCATGCAAAAAGGGCACTGGCTATTCCAAAAGTTGAAATGATAGCGATGTCAGCAGACGTCATTTGTACCGCTGCTTGACATTGTACTTCTTCAGTAGTATTACGATCACAGTGTGTACTTAGATCTGTCAAAAAAGTCAGTAATTCAGTTATTAAAGAATGTATCGCATAGTGTACAAATTAAATTATCTTTGATGTCAAATGCGATTAATAATATTTAAAAACATTGCTTCCAGTACTATTTATTCCTACAAATAATGTAATGATTACTATATGTTTTTATTGCAACAAAATAAAAGGCAACGTACTGCCTAAATATTCAGTCTTGACAAACTGAACATCATTTATGATCTTATTATTGGTCTTATTTCACTTTACCTGGTAAAATTCCTGTACCATTAACTATATCCCTGAAGGCATATACAACGGTGAAGTATTCTAAAATCATCATACAGCCGTTATCTCCCGTTGAGGACCCACCAATTACGAAGTCTTTGCTAATTTTATATGACGCTGCAGGTCGAGAAATGCATTGATTGCTTGCTGCTTTGGTTTCCTTGTCAATGCGAAGCTGTATTCCCTTCTGCCGACTCCAGGATATTTCAACCTGCATGAATTCTTCCGTTTTGACGGTAGAGGTGAAGGTCATCCACTCTGACCATTTTGTGCTGATTCGCGAGTAAAGTTTGTTATTTTCAAACCACATGGCATACCCGTAGTTCGTAGCTTCTTCCCCATTATTACTGAACACAAAACACTTAGAGATCTGATTTCTTAATTTTAGATTTAAAACAAAGGTTATACCAAGATTACATTTCTCTACATCTCCAAAACAAGTGTTTGTAACATCCCCGAAAGAAATATGTTGATTTCCATTGAGATAAATCCCTTTCCCCCTTGTTAAACAAGTGTCAAACGTCGGATTGCCTATTCCCGCTATCGTTGTGCTGTTGCTCCCAACTGGTATATGAATATTGTGGAAAAGGAAGCTTCTCACGGGAATATTTTGAACTTGAATAATAATTTAAACATATGAATTATGATCAATTATAAATTTTGAAATATTTAGGGACTTATTACCGGGAAAAAATAATTAACAAAGGTGTAAGCAATACATAGTTATGAGAGTTGTTTGAGAGTTGGTGACGCAAATTAACTGTAGAATTACACTAAATTGAGAGAATAATCTTGTTTAGTATCATCAGGAATTGGGTCTAGTTTACGTTCATTCTGGTGAAGTCATTCAGTTTGTTAATA